GATCAAATTATCGAGCTGAGGATGAGACTGTAACATGTTGCTCTTGACACTTGTCAATGTTCAATCAAAATTAAAGTGATTTAAGACTGGTTTATTGGTTGTAACATGAGAAATGACGAGGATGGCAGAGAGAGGGGGGGAGAAGAGGAGGCTCCTCTATTTACCAGAAACTGTGAAATATCATCATAACCGATGGCTTGAGCCATATAGAGAGGGGTGGCACCTCGAGAGCTCCTCGCATTAACGTTGGCTCCCCTGTCGATCAACACCTCCACCGTTTCTATGTGGCCGCCCTCCACTGCCAAATGCAACGGGGCATGACCTTCATTGTCCTGGCATTCTAAATCTACTCCAAATTCAACAAGCATCGACACTATATCCTTGTGTCCCTTCACAGCTGCTGCGTGCAAGGCTGTGAAACCATATTGATCGCGATATTTCAAGCTTGCACCCCTTCTCAGTAATGATTCAAGGCTCTCTAATTCACCACGTCTTGCGGCCATTAGTGCTAGTTCTCCACATTGTAAAACCTCCACAACCTCCTCCTGCATTGTTATACGTTGTACCAGTTGAAGAGTAAGAAAAACTCAACTAGATGGATACCAAAATGTGAGGGCTGAATGTTTTCACAGTAAAATCACAGTATGCTTTCTCAAACCAATGCCATGTAAGATAGGTAATTGTTTTTTCAATCCGTAACGTCACTTGCTAAAAAAAATTGGAGTTCCTGTCTTTGTTATTTTTCATGATTTTACTTCCAATATATCCAGCAGCATGCAACAAATAATAATGTTATCTCAGAATATCTACTTTTTAATTTAAGCTTCGTAGCTAATAATCAGTAATAAACAAACGGCTAAAATTGGACGCAGTGGACGCACAAGTTCTTTATCAACTTACATGGCCCTTGTCACGAGCAGCGTCCACAGCTGTACGGCCACGATCATCTGGAATGGTGGGGTCCGCGCCAACATCAAGTAACATCTCAACCATCTTACGGTCACCATTAGCCGCTGCTCTAAACAACGCTGTCCTACCATCCTTATTCTTAGCATCCTTATCAGCACCCGATTCCACCAACAATTTAGCACACTTGATATTTCCCCTACTCGAAGCCAAATGCAACGGTGTCCTTCCCTCCTTATCTCTCAAATCCAACGGCACCGATCCTTTCAACAAATCCAAAACATCATCCGCTCGGTCGAGAGCCGCTGCCACGTGTAAATCACTCCATCCCTTGGATTCCCACCTGGGATCCACCTGATAAGACCCCACCCCACCAGCTGTCACACATGCGTCAATCTTCAACCCGCCTTCAAGCAGTAAATTCACCACAACCTCCGAGTTGTCCAACTCGGTCGCAACTCGGAGCAACGACTCAGCATCTCTCTGGGTCAATTCAGACAGAATTGTCTTTTGCCTCTTCAATATATTCTTGACTGAGTCCGCATCTCCACAGCTGACAGCGTGGCGTAGAAGAAAGGGACCAACAAAGGCAACCTTGAGTCTGAAGTCCTGAGTTGAGCCGAGAGGGAGAGAGGAGAACCAGGAGGCTAGCGAGTCGGGGTGAGTTGAACAAGGCGAGATGGAGGCAAACGGAGCCGTTTTGATTAGAAAACGGTCAGACGGAGAGCGTGGGAAAGTGGGTGGGAGTTGATTTTGGGGTCTGAGGATGATTTGGAAGGTAGCGAAAGACAAAGGAGAAATGAGTCCAGATGGTGGATTAACAAGAAACTTTTGCGGAGATGAAGTTTGGATTTTGAAAGCTACTGGGGCTGTGGCACAAAGTGACCTCAAACGTACTGTGGCTCGGCATTTGGAATTCAGCAAGAAGTCTATGCGCACCTCTGTGTCTGATAATTCTACTAATCTCTCCATTGTAGGTGTACGTGATACGAAAGAGGAGTGATGTCTTCTTGGTAATAGGCAGTGAGGTTTGTGGTTTCTTATGATCAACCCGTGAATATGTGGGGTTCTTGTCGTGTGACTTGTTTGGCGCTTTGTTAAAAATACGAATTTCATAAAAAAGAAGTAGGAGGAGGAGGAGGTTTATCGGATATGATTTGTACTCATCATTAATCCAGTGTCTGGAATTGCATTAAAAGAATTGCTAAAAACATAAGATAGAAAAAAACAAGATCGCGTTGATTAACTCTATGTTTGGTATAATTTTTATAAATTGATTTAAGTTTTTTTTTTTTTTAAACTTTGATTAGGAGAAAACCCTTATATATATTTGGTTAAAAATAATTTTTAAATTAAATTAAAAGCTGGTTATAAAATTTTATCGAAACTTTACTTTGATCAAAAGTTTAAATTCTTTTACTTTTAACTTAATTATAATACACGTAAAAAAAATAGATTCGAGTTATTTTTACCAAAATATTTATGATTTAAAATTATTTTAATTTATTTTTTATAATTTATTTATAAAAATAATTTTTAATTTACAGTTTAAAATAAAAAATTATAATTACAAAAAACCATATCAGGAGAACTCTGAATTATTTAGCATGAAAAATAAAATATACGAAGCTCAATTATCCAATATTTTAAACTCCAATCTTTCAACGGTGCCTGATAAATGTATTGGGATTTTTTTTCACCACAGTAGACTAGAAGTTGGTGATTAATTTGCAAATTAGTATTTATTATTAGTTATTATTAATTATTATTAATTACTATGTGGTCTAACCAGTATCGATGTTTCTCGTTTATTTAAAAGAATTTATGTTCAAGTCCTTCCTTAAAAAAAGGAAAGGAAAATAAAAGAAAAGAAAGAGTCATTGTAAACTCATTCAAACCTCAAATTTTAAAAATTAATATTGAATTATCTATGGGAAATCTTAAATCCAAAAAAATATATACTAAATCTAAAAAAATAAAATTGAATAATGCATGAACTGTATTTTTTTGGATTTAGGGGCTTCGAATTGTTGTATAATAAGTATTTAATTTTATTAAATTGTTAATGCATGGTTAATTTACGTGCCAAGACAAAACACTCATGTGCAAAGAAAATAATCCAAAACGTTATAAGCGCACCCTGCTCCTGGAGAAATGTCCCACTTTAGCCCCCACTTCGATTGATTAAAACCAATCTGATGATAGTATTTAGCGATTTATTTTGTTAATTATGTTGCTTACGCAAGAGGATTATGTGTGGTTTAGAAGGCTTTCTTGATTGGTCGCAGGGTTTGGCTCGCATTCCTGGGGGTGCTATTGTACTATTTTGTTTAAATTCAGCCAGTGACGAATTTTATTCCATAAAAAATAATATAAAAACTTTGGATCGAAACGGGTGTTTATTCGTATATCATTGATGAAGTCTGAACAGTCCAGCTAGTCTAACATTAGATTTTTGGATCGGGTAATTAATTAATTTTAATAGTTTTTTAATTAATTAAAAAAATTATTTTAATATACTTTAAAAAAAAAACATTTTAATCATTACCACTTATATGAATTCAAAAAAACCCTCTAGACGTTGTATACCTAGAATGCAAAGGAACCCGGTTTCAACAGGAACAGACATTTCTATAATGGGCCTTACTAGATAAAGTTCCTTAACAACCAGGCTAAGGCCCAATAAAATAAAAATCAGAATCTGTCTCGCCTCTCTCATAAAGGCTTAAACCCAAAACAATGATCCTCAAGATTCTCCACAAAATCCCCAATATACCCTCTATCCCAATTCCCAGGCCCATCTCCTCCACTTTCCGTTCCCTTTTCACAACCCCAAACAGAAAATTCAATAATGAGTTTCTCATAATGTTAAAAGTTTTTCTCAGTTATGTTCGTTAGCTTATTTTGTTTATGCGAGCTCGCACATAAAATTACTCCGAATAACTAACCGTCTCTGTCCTTTTATCATTTCGGCGAGACAATTCGGTCAAGTTTTTCTCAAATAGTGTTTTTACTGCTAATTAATACAATACGTACCGAAACATATATCTTGCTAGTTCGAGGGCCCTAAGAAAGTTTATTTTTTTTCAAAATAAATTGATTTAAAATTAAAGTAAATCAAAAATAATTTTGTCAGGTATTGACATGTGCAAATAAAGTATGTGAATTGTACATTAAAAACAATTTATTTTAAATTCCACATGTAATTTTCAATAAGAACAAAATAAATTTCAAACTATGCATATTGAATTGACAAATAATAAAAATAAATAAATTATTATTAAGAAATCAGCTCGATGCCTCCTGGCCTAAACGCGACATGTCCCAGCAAAGTCTACAAAACCTAAATATTTAATTCTTTTTTTAAAAAAAGAACGAAGCCCCATTCAATGAGAATGACTAGTCGTTTTTTGTCTTTTTTAATTATCGGATCGAGAATTTCTATCCACAACTTTTAAAACATTGTTTTCACAGCTGTCATCAAAAAAGATTTTAATTTCATTCCGACAATGTGTATAAATCAGTTTCAACTTTAAACCTATTTTAATCCATTTTAAATAGTTTAAAAACAAAATGAAGGAATTCAGAACGAAAATGGATCTTGATTTCTATATTCAGTTTTTTTTTATTATCATGGAAGAGTTTTTTCTTATAGACGCCAATCAACCTTACTGTAAAAGCGACCTTTAGACATTCCTTTCCTCTTAAAATGAATGTTACTATATTTCGACAAGAACAATATAAAAAAGCGAAATTCACTTTACTTTTTCCATATTTATTACCATAAGATAACAACAACAAGAAGAATACAACTACAAATAATTATATTTTATAAAGAAAAGGTAATAAAACTTTTTTTGTATCTTTTTCTAAGTTATATTTTGTAAAGAAATATATAAATAAAAATAATTATTTTTATGTTTGATTTTTATTTTTTAATCAAGTAATTTTTTATTCTTCGAGCACCTGTTTTCTCAACCATTGAACCCGGACAAAACTTTACTATAACTAGTTAAAATATCGCATCATATTTCGTGGTCAAAACATATACAAAACAGGTCCGACCATGCCCATTAGAGAAGTATAGATCTGTAAAGCATCACATCGTTTATACGCGATGTTTTAATGGCCTTTTTGGTCGTGAAATCCTCACATACGAACGTCAAACATTATCACCTTGAATATTGAATTGGATCCGGACCATGAATCCTTGAAGTTGCGAGTCTGCAAACACAAGCAAAGCCTGATTAGAGGTCTTCATTCCAACGAGACAATGGATGAATCTTCAAAGCTTGTCTGTTTTTCGCTTCATGCTGATTTATCTATATGCGGATGGATTGAAAGTTTAACAATATTTTGTTCTGAGCCCAGAAAAAATCAGGAAAGCAGTTTTATGACTATATCCGTGGCTTGAAATACAAATTGATATCAAGGACTCCTGCAATAACGACAAGCAATGCCAAAGAAATTGCTTACACCTTATGAGTTATTGTGTGGAATATATACGCTTGCTCTTTTCGGATGATGTATAAAGGGTATACCTAGTTACTAGTAAGCCACTCTTAAGTAGTGGCTTACAGACCTCCTCCTACAGTGGTAGATTTTTTGTTTAAGGTTCCTGGCTGAGCCAAGTAGTTCTCTTGCTCCAATAATTTAAGGAGTTCGTTAATTTCATGTTGGATGCTAAAAAAAAAATATTGATGGAAATTGAGAATTCATTGTGCCTCTTCAATGAAAACGATGAAATTGATATTAGGGTAAAAGAATCTTTTTATAGGAGCCCATTAATTATTGAGATATTAAAGGTGTTCAACTTCGTATTTTAAGTTTTTAAAAGAAGAGTGGAATATCTAAATTACCATTAAAAATAAAATTTATTTAACTTGAATCCTTGATCTTTTACGACTTTTTTTTAAGAAAAGTAAAATTAACTATTATAGTTCTTTTAAAAATAAGATTTTTTTTTAAATTGATATTTTGAGGCATTTTTGTATTTTTCATTTTGAATTTTTGCTAATTATCAAGTTCACTTAGGGAAATTTTGATTTTTTTCAATAAATATAAAATATTATTTTAAAAAAATTATATAGTGCTTACAACTTATTAGTTATTATGTGCAATGTACTTTCTCTTTTTAGATAATACATGTAGTATATTTTGGTGATCAAACACTAGCATTTATAATGATGTTTAAATTATCTTGATGCCTTTGCATCTTGAAATGATCCATTTGACCTGGATCTCGTGCTTCCTTTTTCTTTTTTCTTTTTTATAATTTCTCCTTGATTTTCATGTGGTGATACTTTAAAAGTTCAAAATAGCATTTTAATTTTATTTTTTTTAAGATTTGTTCCATGTTTTTTTAATTAATATATTTAAAATTATTATTTTTAATTTTATCCTTCTCCTATTTTAAAATATGTTAGATTTAGTTTTAATTTTTTTAATTGCTATTTGTTTTATTTTGCTTTAAATCTTTTTCTTAGATGAATTTATTTTTCAATTTTCACTAGATATTTGATTTTAATTTTTATATCAAATTTTATTCTTATTCTCTTGATTAATATTGGTTTTGTTTTAAATCTTTTTTTTCATAATTAAACTTTTATTTTTAATTTCATCGCTCATATTTTTTTGATCGAGAATCTAGTTTTATAGTACTATATTTGAAATACAAATTCGAGTTGAATTAGATTTTTTTTAAGATTATTTTTGTATAATTAATTTTTTTTATCTTTTAATATTAACTAATTAAATATTATGTTTTATTAAAAAAATTTATAAAGTTATTTTAATTTTATAGGGTCGCAAAATTGAGAAGGTAATTGAAATTTACTTTGACCTTTTCTTTTCTTAATTTATTTGTTATTATTGCCTATTTTTTATTTATATTATTAAAGTAAATCACTCAAATTAATAACCTGATTTTTATATATCTTTTTGCTTCTTTAATAATAGTACCCTGAACATCTGTTTTTTTTTTAACATTAGAAATGGTTTGGTGAGGTCCTCCTATGCGTCGCCGCCCCCGTCGAGCCGACACCTTGATATAGCAAATCATGACGTGGGAGTATGAGTGATCATTCGAATATTAGTTTTGGGTTTGAAGAATTCTAGTCAGGGCAGTCGAAATCAATCTGAATAAGTATTCGGGTTCTGTACCCAGGATTTTTTCAGGTTCTGGATAAAACCCGAATTTGTTTGGGAATGGGATATATGCTGAAAAACATTCTCGGTAATTTCACTTCTCAAATTGAAATTACACTCATTTCATTCTCTTATTTTCTGTTTTGTTCATGATCATTTATTATACTGGCATATTTCTAATCGAATTACTAGATACTGTACCATAAAATAATTCATGCTTCCGGTATTGTATTATTTTATATACCTCTAATTAAAACAAGTAAGAGATACAGAGAGGTAACAAAAAAAAAACACAAGAAACCTAGATGAAAATGAGTTATGTTTGTTAGGTTGGTTGCCATTTTATGTAAGGCACCAACCATTGACCATTGATTATTGGTAGCCACCATTGTTGAATGAGCTAGAGTTGGTGGCCACCAATATTGACAACAAAGCAAGAAGAGCCTCCATGAATGTCTATAAATAGAGGCATATGTGAGAGAGCAAAATGAGAGAAAGAAAAGAGCCAAAGATGTGAGAAATGTAGGAGAGAGTGGGCTGCCATTGCAGCACTAAAAAGAGAGAAATAGAGTGAGGTTGAGAGTTATCAAAGAGGGGATGATTCCTCCTCCTCTATTGTTGTAAATCTTGTACTCTCCCTACATAATGCAATGGCTTCTCCCGTGGATGTAGGCGGTTTTGCCGAACCACGTTAAATATTGTGTCAATGTGCTTGGCCTCCTATGAGCAAATATCAGTACATCACCGGTCGGAATTCCCAACAATTGGTATCAGAGCACATGGTTTAAAGTGGTGTTTGATTTTGCTCAAACATGAAAGTTGTCAAAATTGTGTTTTGACCATACCAATGTGTAGAGGAGGAAGAGACGAAGCCACTGGTGAAAACTGCATCGAAATCAGACGTCGGAAACCGCCGCATGCGCCGTCACGCGCAGGCGAGGTTACTGGACACGCGTCACGTGTCACACGCGTCTTCTTCGCCCGGATGGGCTGACCCATCCCGAATACCAGAAGATCCGACCCACGTGCGAGATCCTGATGATCCGACCCGAATACAGTTTCGTCAGCATGAACAGGTGGCATGACATGTCAGCACCAGTCAGCAGCCACGTCAACAATGTGGGACCCACTGCCACGTCACTAGCCGAGAGTGAGCCGAGCTGAGTTAAAGCCGAGCCGAGCCGCGAGCCGAGGGACAGGATTCTATGTGGCGGAGTCTACGTGCAACCGGTTCTGAGATTGAATCTGGGCCGTTTATCAGGCTAGAGTTGTTTTGATCAAATCTTAGCCGTCTGAAGTGCGATTTGGGCGATTTCAGACTTGTTTCCAGCTAATTTGATTGTTCCGGATGCAATGGTACAGTCCGATCATTGAGATTAAGATCAGAAATGGCAATGATGAATTATTAAAGAGAGATTGCCCGATCAAAAGGCATCTGATGGTCATCATGGTGGTCGATGGAGCTGAAGAAGAAGAAATCACACATGTTTGCCCAATTACATGTGTTGAACTATTATATGAGGAATTTTAATTGCCTTGAGGGAAGGTAAAATTGGGACACTCTGGACACCCGATCATTTGGACAATTTGAGGTGGAGAGTGAAATTTGATGAAGACCAATCTTGAAGAATCTAAGCACTGGTAGTCTCGCCAGATGTTGAGAAATCAGGTATAAAACAAGGATACCCCAGATCACTTGTAAAAGAAAGCTGCGACAAAGCTAGCAAATGGTTGTATATACGAAAAGACAGTACGATGGATAGATATGGCCTAAGAAGTTATGGCTAGGAGATTGGGTTTTAAGCGGGACCGTTGTGACCCCTCCAATCTTTCCTAGGAACTTGCTTAGTGGAAGGATTATCCATACGGTACTATTTTCGTATATGTGACAGTTTGTTATGAAACTGTTGAAGACTAGCAGGATGACGGCACAAAGGAACAGTTGGGTTCCGTATGATCAAGGATCTGATGGAGTGGTGATTTCTCCAAGGAAGTTAGATTTGGTGACTGTAATTTCTCGAGGGGAGAATTGATGAAGACCCTGATAATGGAAGAGCAATACAGCAAAGGGATAAAGATTGTCACCCTATTTTGACTTGGATAGATGTTGTGATAGGATGAGTTGCTGTCAAACATAAGCAAGGAATAGGGAGAAATCTGGAGAACAGAAAATGCACGAGGACACACAAAGATTGTGCAGGAGTACCCGGAGGATCCAACGAGGTATTGTAATGAGACAGCAAGTGCAAAAAGAATAAGTATTCCTAGATGAAGTTTAAAGCAGAGACTGTGTGAAGGTTGTACAATAGGAAGTCTCTTGTACTCTTGATAAAGACAGCAAGCGAGGACCTTTCCAATGCATGCAAGGATGGAAAGATGAGCTGTTGTAAATGCACCTAATTGAGGGGGTGAAAACGTCTGTGATAAAAGGCGACCGCCTATGATGAAAGGCAAAGACACCAAAGAGAGTTGGTGTAGGTGGAGCTGTCAAGTGTAATGATGAAAGACGTAGAAGCTCCAAACATAGAAATCGAGGTGGAGGATTGCGAGGAGTATACCGCAACTTTCTCTTTTTATGTGATCAGTGGCAATGAACTCTCCCAAGTCCACATTGTGATAGAGAATCTTAGTCACTGGAGACATCCCCGATGAAGGAGGATGTGACTGCTTTATGACGAACAAAGACACCTCAGACAGAAGGTGTGTGGGCCATGAAAGGAAACCAAGTATAAACCGCCGCATGACGATGAGTGGAGACACCTCATGAGAAGGTGTGAGGACCATGATATGAGTCCAATTTCAGACCGTCTCATGAAGACAGGCAGAGACACCTCAGGAGAAGGTGTGAGGACCGTTATATAAGTCCAAGTTTAGACCGTCTCATGACGACAGGCGAAGACATTTTAGGAGAAGGTGTGAGGACCGTGATATGAGTCCAAGTTCAAATCATCTCATAATGACAGGAGGAGACACCTCAAAAGAAGGTGTGAGGGCCATGATAGGAGCCCAATTTCAGAACGCCCTAGAGCCAATATGATGGCTGGATATAAGTGGACAAGTGTATAGCCAATGAAGTGGCTATGATGAGTATGGAGACAAATGCAAGATTGACTTTCATGGATATTGCCCCCATGCTAAAGATCAATGAGTTAGAAGACATTTGCCTTGGATAATAAGTGAATGACTTGTGGAGCATTAAGACGCGGCTGCTATGAAGGAGCAGAGGGCATGCGCAGGTTCCGGGAACAAGTTGACTCTTGTCAAGGTGGTGAGCTCGATGAAGGCATTGTAATACTCAGAGTATCAAGACATATATGGATCAACCTTTAATGGGCTGCCCCCATGGTTAAAGGTGGAAAGCTACCTGGACTTTTGAGACTAAGAGCAAGAGACTCACGGAGAAGGCGTGGTTTCTAGGGTGGAACAGAGGGCAGGCGCAACTCCTGGATGAGTAGACTCTTGAAAGAGTGGTGAGCTTGTGATTATATTAAGATGCTCAGATAATGACTGTCGCACTTGAAATATCCATTTGAGGGGGTGCTATAAGCCTTAATGTGAGGCTTGATGAATCATTCCGGACCGAGCATGGTTGATACGCTCGAAGGGGAATGTTGTTTCAGAGACAAGCGTTAACATTATTCAGATGTGATGTGACAGACCATCTGGTTATAGTGATCCTTTTGTGTGAGAAAAGGTGTGCTTTGGTTACTCTGATGATTGAAAGGTTTGGCGAGTACCTATAAACTTGGCCAAAGATGCTCTCAGAATGGAAAGCTTGGAAGAGCTGCAAGATGCAAGCTTGTGTTGAAGAAGCAAGAGGACAGTTGCCTCACATGAATGGCAAAGGGGGTGATTTTTAGGTTGGTTGTCATTTCATATAAGGCACCAACCATTGACCATTGACTATTGGTAACCACCATTGTTGAATGAGCTAGAGTTGGTGGCCACCAATATTGACAACAAAGCAAGAAGAGCCTCCATGAATGCCTATAAATAGAGGCATCTGTGAGAGAGCAAAATGAGAAAAAGAAAAGAGCCAAGGATGTGAGAAATGTAAAAGAGAGTGGGCTGCTATTGCAGCACTAAAAAGAGAGAAATAGAGTGAGGGTGAGAGTTATCAAAGAGGGGATGATTCCTCCTCCTCTATTGTTGTCAATCTTGTACTCTCCCTACATAATGCAATGGCTGCTCCCGTGGATGTAGGCGGTTTTGCCGAACCACGTTAAATATTGTGTCAATGTGCTTAGCCTCCTATGAGCAAATATCAGTACATCACCGGTCGGAATTCCCAACAATGTTTGCAAGAATAAGATGTGTAGGCGTTGATTTGACAGCCAAAAGCCTTGGAAAAGTTCCAACTACACAAGGGGCTAAACTACAACCATAAACAGCAAGTGTTTTAGCACGAACTTTACTTCAGGAGGTTTTAACTTTTAACCAGTGAAACATGGCAGGCATCTAGCAGAGAAACATTTGGATAGAAAGAATTTTTTCGAAAAGATTTGTGAATTGAAAAACATGATCTTTTAAGGCGTGGAGACTGCGAATGAGGGAAAGTTTTTTTATTTTTTTTCCTTGGGTCAAGAGGAGTTTGGATTGATTAATCTAATTCCAGGAGGATTTTGGATAATCCATGATAAACACTTATCTTGATTCCTTGCTATTAAGAGAGAAATTCGCGGATTGATCAAGGATTTGCACGAGATAAGCAAAAGATGGAGACGCAGGGGCTGTCAACACAGAAAGAACTAGCAGCTGGATGTTTTTTTTGTCCGCGGTGCACCTGGTTCTAAAGTTTTTTAAACCGACCCGAATCCGAAAAACCCGAATTAATTTCAGGTTTGTTCGAAATCTTAATTTATCTAAAACCTTAGCCAGATTGTTATTTCAGGTCAAAGACTATCCTTGTTTATCTCGTTCGTAATTTGGATAAAGCTGGTTGAAATAAATAGACTCTGACGTGGGCTTTGGTTGAAGAAAACGGACCACATTGGATCCTTTCTCATCACACAAACATCATTTCAGTTTCAATGTCCGAGCTAGCACTTCCCTTTCATTTCAAAACCTGTCAATTTATTTAATGAAGGTGTCCCAACAAAAGCATCAAAGATTGGAGGTGGAGTACAGTAGTTGTACAGGCCTGAATATTAACTTCAAAACAATGAAGTGGGACATGGATCACATGCATGCATGATGCTTAAAGCAAGAAGAAGATGAAACATCATGAATCGATCCTACCATGTGAAAGGGCAAACTGCCAGCAATTAGAGAACAAAATCTAGAACAGAAGCAAAACAAATCATGTCAGCGTATATACAAGCAGAAATGGTAAGACCAGCATTGGTTCGTTATTTTTATAATCTTAGTAAATTCCGAAACATGATCGCATATTGCCTAAAACAGTTTTTTAATAAGATATTTATGAATGTAGTAATGATTATGGTTTAAAGTATTTTTTTGCTAGAAAATATATCAAAATAATATTTTTAAAATTAGTATATTAAAATATCTATAAATAAATAAATAAAAGATAATTTTAAATTTTTCAGAAATATAATTTCAACCATATTACTAAAAACTGTATAAATAGAGAGCTAAAACTCAGTCTTCTACTTATTTTTTTCCGGCCACCTAAGCTGAAGAACTTGTATTAGTATAAATGGAATCATTATTATTTCGGGCTTCATATGGTGCAAAGGCTTGGTAGTCGTAGCTTATCACTAGATAAAACCTGAAATTTAGAGAACATATTCAAGTTCGCAGCTGACATTTGCAATTATAAATATATAAAAACGACGAGGTCCACCATGTTTTGTTTGGTAGTTAATTTGCTGGCAGCTTGCTTCCCGGCTTTCAACTTTGCTTACACAAGCAACAAAGTTTTCAAACCGGCTGGCATTTTCCTCTCTGATATTGATGAATTATATTAAAAGTGTCCAAAGTCTAACTAGGCTTCTGCAAGGGAGAATAATCAACGATGCAATCAGGATTACTGCAAATCGGAAAACTCCAGATGGAGACTGGATGGAGTCAATTACACTCAATCAAAACCCTAGAAGGCAACGATAATGCCATGTGAGCACCATGTGGTGCCATGGAAAATAGGGTTCAGCCCATTTCTTTTGAAATCATGGAGCAAATCATGCATGCATGAATTTATATCACGATTGCATGGGGATGTTATATTTATTTAATGGTGTCTAAGATTTTCTATTCCTCTTATTATTATTATTATTATTATTATTATTATTATCTTGCCGACATTGTAGGACGGCCCATGTAGCCATGTAGGGAAGAAACTGCCAGTTCGGAAGAATAAATTAAAATATACACCACCCTTTTCATGTTCGGAAGATTAAATTAACTGTACGCAGGAGGTGGGCCGGGATGCTCTATCCTCGTGAGCAAAGTCTGAAGGGAAGAGTTACGTTAAAGCAATTTAAAGAAGTCTTTGGAGGGAGTACCGAACTCTGGAAAATTACACTGCAACTGAATGAGTTGCTCATAAAAGCATTTTCATTTAAATTTCTTAATATTCTTTCCGAGAGTGCTTACAGAGCAATTCGAAGAAAATGGTCCCATTCAAGGTGCTAATTTCGGACGTAGTAAGTGACTTCTTCTCGATGAGGCATGCTTTAGAGGTTTACAGAAATTGATTTTTATTTAAAAATATATTAAAATAATGTATTTTTTTATTTTTTAAAATTTTTTAAAGCATGAATTACTAGCAATGTCAAATATAACTCACGTAAATCAGTTGAAATCGAAGAAAGGGAGAGAGAGAGAGAGAGAGAGATTTTGACTATAAAACAAGAAAATGCTACTACTTAATATGGTAGCATTTTGCCTTGAGATGATCTCAAGCTTGTCTCGAATAGAAACATCAAGGAAGCAACCAAAGCTCCCACCAAACCCATTCATAAACCATCGTCTCCAACGACGCCCATTTACTATTATTCCTTCCATCAAATTGAAACTTATCATAATATTTATTTGTAGTATTCCACTTTCTAGAAATAAATAAATAAATCATTGTATAATATTTCAATAAACACTGCTAAATGTCAAACGGCCCCATGATGACATATAGAACAATTAATTAGGAAAATGACTGCGTCTCTCAGTTTATATATTTTTATTTTTTTAATTTAGAAGTAATTTTGAGGTTTTTTTTAAATGTTTTTAATTTAACAAGATATTAAAAAAATTTAAATTTTTTTAACATTAACACCATAACATTAAAACAATCTAAATTATAAAAAAATAATTTAAAATAAAAATAAATCAAAATTTATTAGAATTCGGAGCAAGTACAACGCCAAACAAGGTCACAGTAATTAGTAAGAAGCAAGTCTTTGCGGGGCCTGAAGGGCTCCAAAATTAACAGCAAGTCTTTTTCACATTTTACAGCAGTAAAAAACAAGTCCAATACCAGAAATTTAAAGGAGGGAGAGAGAGAAGCAGCACGCGTTTTCAAAATCAAAAGCGGCTTCAATGGGTCTAAGAACGCACGCGAGAGAGAGGACAGTTTTTGAATGTTTTATTTCTTATTTCTTCATTAGTCTTTACAATTAATCAATACAACTCGTGTGGTTGCTGTTCTCATGGAGATCAAGAACTGGAAATTCAGTCGGCTTGGAGTTTTAATCCTGTTTTTGCTATATCAAAACTTAATTCTCTGCTCTTCGCTTAATGAAGAAGGTAAGTAAGCGGTTCTGTGCCTGTGTTTCCCTCGGCTAGTTTCTGGAGGAAGTATTGGAACAAGTGAGATAAAAAGCGGTTGTGTTGTTTGTTTGGATGATGATGCAGGTATGGCGTTGTTGAGGTTGAGAGAGAGGATAGTGAGTGATCCATACGGTGCGTTGAACAGCTGGAAAATGGATTTTGGAGATATTGATCATTGTTCCTGGTTTGGTGTTGAGTGCTCTCATGATGGAAAAGTTGTCGTTTTGTAAGTTTTTTTAGTGCTTTTGACTTTTCTTTTATGTTCTGGTTGGTTTCTGAGAAAATTTAGGAAAATCAAGGAATTCTGAAGCATTTGGAACTCAAGACTTACTAATTTAGTTTTTTTTTTTTTTTCAAGACTTCAAGTTTACTTAAAATTCTGGATGTTAAAATTTGTCAGTTGTCAACTTTGCTATGATTAGCTATGTAATTAATCAAGTAAATCAGTGATGAGGAACATGCATCAATATTTCTAAAGTCAATCTCAATCTGTTGTGGTGGTTGTTTAGCAGTTTCAACGGTTGGTGTGATGATTTATATATGTTCAAGTTGAGAAGTTGTGTATTGATTTATTTCGTTTGAAGTGGATTATTGCAATCTTTTTGAAAACTTTGTTAGAAAATCAAGCGATTCTCTTTATTTTCTTTGGGCTGCTGCTAAATATCATGTTTGATGTGTTTTAAGAAGATGTAGAGGTTCGAAGAATTACAAGGACCAATGACCGGTTAACATAAATAGCTTTCTTTTCTTGAAATTTAGCATTTCTGATCCATTTCAAAATATGATCAGTTTTCTGTTTTATTCTTGTTCGACAGTCAAGAAGAAAATACAACTGTCTGCTGTTGCATTTACATGCAAATGTTCTCTTGCAGCAGTTCTTATTGGTTCTCTATTAAGAGAGAGGAGCTTTGAATGCAT